AAGACAGATGGACGAAAGACACAGAGAAAAAGAGAGACAGACAGACAGAAAATAGTGATGAGTGAGAGAGAGAAAGAGAAGAGAGATAGAGACACAGAGAGAAAGAGAGAGACAGACAGCCAGAGAAGAGTGATGAGTGAGAGAGAGACAGAGAAGAGAGACAGAGACACATAGAGAAAGGGAGAGACAGACAAACAGAGAAGAGTGATGAGTAAGAGATGAGAGAGAAAGAGAAGAGAGACAGAGACAGAGAGATAAGAAGATGAAAAAATGGGTGAAAAGAGAAATGTTCAAAAGAGTAAGACGACGTTGTTTATAGTGGATCGATAAATCGAGAATGAGCTCGATAAATAGAGAAGATGGGAGTAAAAGAGTGAGCAAGGCGAACATAGTGAGGGAGAAATAGACAAATAGACAAGTAGAGAAAGAGAGAGAGAAAAGTGATGAGTGAGAGAGAGACAGGGAGAGAGAGATAGACAGAAAAAGAGATAGAGAGAGAAATAGAGATAGAGATAGAGGGAAAGATAGAAAAAGAGAGAAAAACAAGAGATGAGCGAGAGATAGACAAAAAGAGAGAGAAATAGAGCGAAAAGAAATGAGCGAGAGAGAGACACAGAAAAAGAGAGAGACAGAGAGAGATAAAGAGAAATAGAAAGATAAGAGAGAGAGAAAAGAAATGAGAGAGATAGAGAGAAGAGAGATGAACGAGAGAGACAGAAAGAGAAAACAGATGAGAGAGATAGAGAGAAGAGAGATAGGCGAGAGACACAAAGAGAAAATGAGAGAGAGAAACAAACAGACAGAGAAAGAAGAGTGATGAATGAAAGAGATAAAGAGAAGAGAGATAGATAGAGATAGAGAGACATGAAGATGAAAAAATGAATGAAAAGAGAAATGTTATATAAAAAGTAAGAAGACATTGTTTTTTTAATTTTTTTTTGCGACAGAAAAAAGTACTAGAATTTATTCAAACCATTTTGTGACTGTATATATATGAAGCTGTCTCAAAACCACAATCACTATGCTAGGTTAAAGTTTTACAAAAACTCTTTTGAGAAAATTATGCTTTCTTGTTTTCCGTGTTATATTATTTTTACTGAAGTTTTTTAATATTTTAAGTATTTTTTTTTAATTTTTAGACACACCTAACATAAATACGCTTAAAAATTTTAAAAATTGTAAAAAAAATCTTTTAAAAATTCACTAAATACCAAAAATACAATAATTCAATACATTTTTTTTTGTACTTTTATGTATTTATTAATTTTTAAAAATATTTTTTCATAATTTTTTTTAGATACATCTAAATAAGGTGCATCTAAAAAAAATATTTAAAATTTTAAAAATATTCACTAAAAATTAAAAAAAAAACACGAAAGTCACTTTTTGCGACGGCAGAAAATGTCGTCTCAAAAAAGCAGGGTATTTGCGACGGCACTATTTGCCGTCTAAAAAAAGCAGAGCATTTGTGACGGCACAATTTGCCGTCTCAAAAAAGCAGAGTATTTGTGACGGCAAAAAATACCGTCACAAATGCTATGCTTTTTTGAGACGGCAAATTGTGCCGTCGCAAATGCTATGCTTTTTTGAGACAGCAAATAGTGCCGTCGCAAATACTCTGCTTTTTTGAGACGGCATTTTTTGCCGTCGCAAAAAGTGACTTTTTGAGACGGCAAGTGTGCCGTCGCAAATAGTCCCGTCTCATATACCCACTTTTCTTGTAGTGTCAAATTTTATTTGGGATATTTACAATTAAGAGTTTTTTATTTTTTTTATTTTTTATTTTTTAAATACTACAGCAAGAAGATGTTGAACATCTTTGATGTTGTAATTTAGAAGAATTAAATTGCTTGTAATTTTTTTGACAAATTTTCTACATTATTAGTAGACAAAAACTTTAATTTATCCCATATTTGTAATACAATCTTCTATGGATAAAACCAACCCCCTCAATTATGGGTCGGTGTTACTTTAGTCACTTCAACTAAAAATTGTTATATTTTGTCCTTTAACCTTTTGATTTGTTTCAATCTCAACATTTTATTAACAATTTTTTATTTTTTTTTATGAAAAGAGAATAGGAAAAGTGGCATATGGAGCTGTACATACTTTTATGATAAAAATGTTCATTCAAGAGGTTATTTATACAGATATGTAAGAGATCGTATACATATGTTTTATCTGGTCATAAAATTGGTATTCACATATCATTTTTTTTATGGTCCTATTTCAGAAAAGAATGGTTATAAAATTCAAGTAATAAAATGTAACGCTTTTTAGTTGATATCTCAAAAACTTTAAATGATATAAAGGAAGGTACGTTCTTCAAGAGAGTTATATAAATATTGTGATGTAGTATTTTTTTAGAATAATGTTATATGTACCAATTGATATGTCAATTAATATACTAACAAATGATATTGTATAATTTTAAAGATTTTGGGTATTTGTAATTTGTATAATCGGTGAGGTCAGTAATAATGTTATAACATATGTTGGTACACTAATTAGTATACTAATTGGTGCATATAATACCACCGATTTTTTTGCTTATGAGTCATATAATTTTGAAAAAGTTATTAAAGCAGAAATTCAAAAAAGGGCAAGGGATGAAGAAATTGTCACTATTGTTGATTTACCCAAACATAAAGATGTGATTGGGCTTAAATGAGTTTACAAAACTAAATATAATGAAGAGGCTGAATCCAGAAGCCCCATGCTTATTTAGTTGCAAAAGACTACTCACAAATTTTCTCATTCAGGAGTGTAAATAAGTTTATGTTGAATAACTACAAGTTATGTAGCCAAAGAAAGAGAGACGAGAGTACATCCACCATACAGTTTGAAACAAGCGCCCCGACCTAAAATAGTAACATAAAAAGGTATTTTTTTAACAAAATAGATTTTAGACAAGTCAAAGTAAACTATTGTTATATATCAAGAAGGATAGTATGCAAGACTTTCTCATAATTTATCCACATGTCAATGATTTACATAGAAGTAAATTTTATATACATTAATAATTAAAGCCCTGTTTGTTTTCTAAACCAGATGTCCGGATTGAATTGTGAGGTGAGAAATACTAATACCATGTTTATTTACAAAATGGAGGTCCAAATTGGGATTTTGTTTGGACTATGAAAATCTTTAGAGGAGCAGATTGACAATCATTCAGAGGATATGAAAATTCAAAAATAATTCATAGTGGAATCAATTGTTTGGGAAAGTGCAATTTTTTATTTATTTATTAGAACATTAATTGAAGTTCAAAATCATGCTTTCTAGTGAAAAAATTATGAGTTGTTTTGAAAAACATGACCTCTCATTATTTTATATAAAAATAATTTAGCAATCTTTACGCCAACAAGTACTATCAAACAAATACAATTTTCTTTAATCTTCACACCAATAATTTCATCATTAACTTTGTAATCTCATCCAAGAGAGTCTAAAGTGCTCTCCTCTAGTCCGTGATTAGACTGGAAGGAAGTGTTGGGCCCGTAGAGGCCCATTACGAATCTTGTTTTGATAATTTGAACCGTTCAATGTGTAGAACTCATCGAGTACTAAATGCCTGTAAATGCTCACATTGATCGAATATCGATAACTTTTTCATCGAATCAGATTTCTACCGCCCATTTTTTTTATACAAAATTGATTTGATCATGTAATTATCGATACTCAATCAATGTTATTTTTTATAAATATATAATACTCGACAAGTTCTACAAATTCAATAATTCAGATTATCAAAACGAGACCCATAATGAGTCTCCAAAAATTTAATAACACCTTCTAATCTAATCACGAATGAGAGAAAAACCCAAAATCATAAACCTATTCTACTATTCTATAATAATTTTTTGGTAGTAGCACTCAGTTTTTCAAAAATAATTAGCCCAAAATTTAGTAAGTGTTTGGGTAAATCTAAAAAAATTAAAGTCATAACTTTTTCTTTTTCTTTTTCCGCGGAAAATAACAACATTTGTCAGTGGCCAAAAAGACCAAAATGCTCATTAACTTTGTAATCTCATCCAAGAGAGTCTAAAGTGCTCTCCTCTAGTCCGTGATTAAACTGGAAGGAAGTGTTGGGCCCGTAGAGGCCCATTACGAATCTCGTTTTGATAATTTGAACCGTTCAATGTGTAGAACTCATCGAGTACTAAATGCTTGTAAATGCTCACATTGATCGAATATCGATAACTTTTTCATCGAATCAGATTTCTACCGCCCATTTTTTTTTATACAAAATTGATTTGATCATGTAATTATCGATACTCAATCAATGTTATTTTTTATAAATATATAATACTCGACAAGTTCTACAAATTCAATAATTCAGATTATCAAAACGAGACCCATAATGAGTCTCCAAAAATTTAATAACACCTTCTAATCTAATCACGAATGAGAGAAAAACCCAAAATCATAAACCTATTCTACTATTCTATAATAATTTTTTGGTAGTAGCGCTCAGTTTTTCAAAAATAATTAGCCCAAAATTTAGTAGGTGTTTGAGTAAATCTAAAAAAATTAAAGTCATAACTTTTTTTTTTTTTTTTTTCCGCGGAAAATAACAACATTTGTCAGTGGCCAAAAAGACCAAAATGCTCCTATTTTTGTCCTTTCCTCGCAACTTATAAAAAAAAGACAAAATACTTGATAGTGTATCTTCTCAGGTCCCACCACAGTGCATGCACAAGCCGTACTGGCGCTTCACATAATGCACAGTCACTTCGAAAGAATTATGTTTGGAAACTTTAGAAGATCAACTCTAATAATTTTAATGTGTGCATTGAAACCTATCCAATAATAATTTTAATGTGTGCATGAATCTCATTCAATATGATGTTTTGATTATTTATTTTATTTTTTTTAATTTTCCAGCTCAATGGAGCCTCGATTACAGCGGGGATGAATCATGATATTCTCCTGTATACATATACATGTGAATCAGAGTCAATGGAGAAGAGAAAGAAGTGCCATTGCTGATATTGCAGATGAAGATGAAGATGAAGATAAAGATGAAGATGAACACAATGATTGTTTTCATTTTCACTCTCCTGTTTCTCTCCACTCCATCATCATCACCCTCAGTCCAATCTGACCTTCCAACTGTCTGCATAATCGGAAGCGGCATCGGCGGCTCCTCCGTCGCTCACTTCCTCCGCCAATACTCCGATCAATCTCCTCCTCCCATCGGCCAAATCCGAATCTTCGAACGCCGCGGCCGCGTCGGAGGCAGGATGGCTACTATCTCCCTCGCTGGCGACACCTTCGAAGCCGGAGCTGTCATGCTCCACCCCAAGAACTACCACGCCGTTAACTTCGTCAAATTTCTCAATCTGACCGTCAAGCAGGATGATGAAGACGACTCCTCTTCTTTCGGTATTTGGGACGGCCATAAATTCGTCTTCAAAACCCTAGACTCTAATTCCAAGTTCCCTTTTTTCCAGAAGATCGTATCGCTACTCAATTCATTCCGCATGTTCTTTCGTTATGGATTCTCTCTCTTCAAAATGAGTAACTTTGGCGAGGTATACACGCGCTCTCTCTCTCTCTATATATATATATATATATATTTTTATCAACAAAGAAAAAGGAAACTTATATTAATGAAAAGACATAAGCACCAAAATACATCAAAAAAGAGGAAAGTGCAAAAACATCATAGCTATCACTCTACAATCCCAACTAGGTTGGCACGAAGAAGGAAGCACAATAGCACTACACCATTGGCGAGATACCAATCAAAACAAAAAAGAAACTAGAAAGGCCACACCTACATCAAGCTCCACCACCAGCAAAACATGGCAGCATTATCAGCCTTCCAACTTTGCCAACACCTACCCCTGAAGACTCTACCAGCACCTTTTAAGACATACACCAAGTATCTCCTAGCCACACGAAAATGCACTAGGTATTTAACACCCAAATATCAACAAGCAGCATCAAAAGATAGCAGCACCAGGTCACAAAACAACAGATAGTAACACCAGATAGCAGCATCAGGACTGTTGACAGACTAAAGAGTGCACCAATTACATTTCTACTACACATGACAGCAAACACCAGTAACAAGAAAAAACCAGCAACAATAGGACCAGCAGCATAGAGCAAAACAAGAAAACACCAGCATAGCACATGGCATCCCAGAACACTGCCATATCAGATTACTACCACCAGCAGTAATTCCAATAAGCTTCAAAACAGAATCAACCACCCAGCATCACAGCAACAACAGACAGCAGCATCAACAATCAAATTGCCCTTCAAGCTTCAACACCGACAACAATATACATCAGAACCAGCAGCTAGATACAACCATCTAGCAATAATCAGTCATCAGAACATCCAGCAAGCATCCAATACGAAGAAACTAAGAATGACCTCTGAGCTGCTGGACATTATTAACAATTTCCTGGACAGAGTAAAACCCCTCACTGGAATGAGCCTTAACCCAAATGGCAATTCTGAATTTGATCAAATCACACACTTCCACCAGATTTTCTTGCTTACTTTGGAACACAACCTCATTCCTGAGCTTCCATAATGACCACAATACAGCCAATGGTATAGCCTGCCAAATCAAATTTGCAAATTTACCCCACCTAAAACCACTCCACCAGCCAAGAAGTTCCTCCACATTCCGAGGTATAACCCAATGCAGCCCCCACCATTGCAGTAAACAAGACCACACCCTCCAAGCAATGTATATTTGTGGCGCAGAGTGCAATGGATAGATTCTTAAATTACTATAAAAGCTGTGAATCAAGGCCAGTCTTTGAGACTGTGGATGAGATGCTTAAATGGGCTGGTTTGTATAATCTCACCACCAGGACATTGCAAGAGGAACTGGTAGATGTTAGGTTGTCTCATTTGCTGATACAAGAGCTTGTTACAATAAGAGCCCTAACTATTGTTCTCAAATGTTTAATTTCTGTGCATTTTTGTTGGTTGCGTTTGGAAGTAACAGTTTGTTTTATTTTAATTTTGTATTTAGCATCGTGGTTCTATGAATTTAGTGCCATTCTTATTCTGAGATAATTATTTGGGCAAGCATAATAAAGATGGTATAACCTTTTGAACTAGGCATTTAGATGAAATAAGCATCAGTTGGAGTTATGGGCATTTGATTCCTTTCAGATTCTTAATTTACTATTTGAATTTTGAAGTGAAATAATGATATCGGATTTGATGGTTCAATTCAACCGATAATTGATGGATCCAGCCCAATCCTTTATAGATCTTGTTTAGGGATCACGCACTGCTCTAGATCATTCAGGTAGATATCACCAATACAGGGAATGGACCTTAGTAGCAGGAATCGTCTCAGATGGTGACGACTCTGAGGAAGAAGCGCGATTCTGCGCTTCTGAGGGAGAATCGCAGCAGAATCACGAATCTGAGCAGAGGAAAACGCGAATCTGATGCGAGAAGGAAGCACTCTTGAGAGGGCAGGGAGAGAACCTAGTCGCTGGCTTCAATCCTTTGTTCGACGACTTCGATCTCGCGCTGTTTGACTTCCCCTTTGAAGCCCTAGTCTTCGTCCCTTTCTTCGAAGCCTTAGGTGTTCGTCTCTCTCTCTTCTCACTCTCCATTTCCTCTTTGTCTCTGTTTGCTTCTCTCCTTCGTCTCTAGTTGCTTCTCTCTCTTCTCTCTCTCTCAATCTATTCTGTTCTCTCTCTCTCTCTCTCTCCCTCTGCGTTTTCATATTTGACTCTTTTATATAATATAATTTATAAATTATAATATTTATCATATATAATATAATTTATCATAAACAATATAATTCTTATGTTTAAAATAAAAAATTATTTATTTTATCATATATAAAATAATTTTTATTTATTATTTCTTTTTTATTTTTTAACAAAATTTATTATTTCTTAACTTTTTAACATATAATAAATAAAATAAATCATCTAATTGTTTAAAAGAAATCTATTTAAATCATATATAATATTAAAAAAAAACTTAAAAAATTTATAAAATAAAACATCTAATTTTTATTTATTATTTATTTTAACATGATTTATTATTCCTTATTTATTATAATAAATAAAATATAATTAATAAAAATAATACATAAGCGCTCCTAATCTACGACTCCTCTAAGTGGCCACGTTTCCCCGCTCCCACTTTGTGCAACTAAGGAATGGACAAACTACAAATTCCATGAGGCCTAGTGATATCTAGTAATGGTAATGTCATCTTTATTAGGTGTTCATGCTTACTTGAAGTGACAGGGTAAACCAAACATTTCATCTATAGTCATTGATGACTCAGGAGCCCTGATTGATCGGAAGGTCTAGATTCAACATAGGCTTCCAGTTTTTCCCCTTTATTGACAACAGAACTGCTGTGGAAATACATGAAAGTGTAGACATGAAAATGAAATGTAGAAAGCAAACTCAATCCTGATTCATGAATGTTGGTTGCTTTTAATTTATGAAGTGATACAAATGCATCTGTTTGTAGTCAATAAATTTGATTAGTATGTAATTTTTGACAATATAGATTATGGTTAGATACACAGATCAAAACTTTGAAGTATTCTATGAAGATAAACAAAAGGAGGAACAATGAAACTGAAATGCAGTGACCATGAAGAAAACTAGTTACTATTAGTATTGTATTATGATATCGCATGCTGACTAGAAGAAGACGATTCACACACACACACACAAACACTATGAGATTCTTTCCATTTGAGCACTGATTCAAGTATTCAATTAGATGTCTTAAAATCAATTTTTTATATAAAACAATTAGTAGTTAATTTGCAGAGACTACTATGAGATGAAAGAGATCCCAATTACAATAGGCTGACTTCTGATGTAGCTTTCTCGTTTTTGCTTTCTTAACTGTTGGCATAGTTCATGGATAATTGTTTCCCTCTGTTGCATTTCTTTTTTCTTAAATGTATTTCTTTTGGTTTTAAGCATAAAATTTTAATGGGATAAAAGGTTTTCAAAATAAAAAAGTCTTAAAAAGTGCATTAATCTTCAAGGGCTTAAAAGTTATTTAGACGAATAAGAACAAGAACTAAACCAAATAAGGTGACAATTATGAGCATGGTTGCCATCTAACCGTGTATCATTTATCGTTGTCTAATTGCATAGTTTATTTATGCGTTGTGTGGTAAAATCACTAACTGACCATGTTGATACATCCCATACCCTTATCTATCTAGTTTTCAAGTGTCTCACATGCAGAATGAGGATCCTCTATTTGCACTCTCTCTTGCCTCCCTACTTGCAATGGTGGAGATGTATCCTAGGATAATCAAACGGTCCAGATTTGGCTATTTAAAAAAAAATTAAAATAAGCAAATTTGGATTGTTGAATTATCCTAGGGTGCATCTCCACCTTTGCAAGTAGGGAGTAGGGCTATCAATAGATCGGATTTAATCAAAATCCGACTCGAAAATCTGAATCCATTTACAAAAAATCCAATCCAGTAATTCAATAATCCGAATCCGTTTCATCCGTTTATTAAACGGATTGAATATGCAAAAATCCAATCTGATCCGATAATTCTCAATTTGAATGAAGAAAACACAAAATGAAAAAAAATATATCAAATTATATAAAATTGTAGCTCAATAAATAAGTAAATGGATTGGATCAGATTATCGGATCGGATATCTGAAATTATCGAATTCAGATCCAAGTGATCTATAATCGAATATGAGCTAAACGGATTCAGATCGGATTTGGATTTTGACAGACCTTATTCGAATCCGATCCATTTACAGGCCTAGTCGGAAGGCAATGAGAGAGTGCAAGTAGAGGATTTGGACTCCTCACATGGGTACTTGATTTATTTTAAAGTGTTAATGTAGCATAATTGAATTCTATGATATGAAAACATAAGAAATCTAGGTAGAGTTTTAGAATTATAATTTGATAATAGAGGTAGTATTTTGAGTTTGTGAGTTTTGAAATTATGATTTGAGTGAGGAAAATTTGTTTGGTTATGAGTTTTGAAGAGAGTTTTGAAAAGAGTTTTGAATTAAGTTAGAAAAGCATGATGTGGCATATGATATTTGATTCAAAAACTTATAACTCATAACCAAACACACAACCCAAAATTCTATTCAAATAAAAAATTTTAAAAAAAAAATTCAAAAATATTTTTTATTGAAAATATAAAAATAACGGGTGCCAAAAAAAAATACTGTTCCGGTCAAATGCAAGTGTGAAAATGACTTTTGAAATGCAGTGCAGCTGTGGAAATGATTTTTGAAAACTAAAACCAAACATAGCATTCAAATCAGTGGATGGAAAATTGATTACAAAGTCCCACCAAACACAGCCCTAGATTTTCAAAGAAACTATGGCGACTGTTTCTGAATGTCTGAACTGGATCAGCCATGCCAAGCCAAGATTTTTCTATTTCAGTACCAAACCTCCTTAATGTTGGTTTACAGTGTGAGTTGAAAACTCCTTGTTTTTTGCTTTAGGTTGACATGATTGTTGGCTGGAGAGCTAGTAGAATAATTTGGAAAGAAGTAAAAGTTTTTAGAATGTGGCTCCTTCATGCTTGATTTGTTGTATATGGGGGAAAAAAATGGTGGTCATTCAATGGTGCAGGGTGTCAATCCATAGAATGATTTGTTGGTTTTGCTTGATAGTTTAGTAACAGTGAGGGTGATTTGGCCCTTGTTACGTTTCTTTTTTTAGGATTTTGCAGAGTATTCATATGCTCTTTGATATTTTTATAGTCTGTATGACTCTTGCAAAGTGGTTTTGGAGGTTTTTTCTTTGGGTGAGGTGGTGGGAATGAAATGCTATTCCACCCTTTGATGATGTTTAGAAGTAGAGTAATAATGTCTGAAGGGCTTTGAAATTCTTATGAAAGAACGGAACATATAAATGAAGTTTGTTTGTTATTTTCTAGAATGGTTGTAGTAAGCTCATAAGTTTTGATTTATATAAATATGGGTAGGGGAAAATAACTTATATGTTCAGAATGTTCTTATTGGATGGCTCTTATTTTTTGAATGCTTTTACAAGTGCATGGACTTGTATAATACACATGTAAAATTGTTTGTTTGTTTGTTTATATGTATTCTTTGCCTCAAATATGAATGTCCTATACTGCGCAGGACAACCTAAATTTTTATGAATAAATTTCAACCATTTTCTATACTCGTAGGTAATCCAATATGCTCTTCTCGTGGTAGTGGCTTTGGTTCTACCTAAGGTTGCACATACTAGTCATGAAATTGCTAACCTATGTTAGTCCTCACACTAACAACATAATCTCCTCAGAAATGTTACTCAGCAAAGAAGTTTATACTTATGGTTGGCTATTAAAGTTGAGTTGACATCCCTTTTCACATCTAATAAAATCTTTAAATATGCTGATTTGTGTGTCATACCAATGGAGTTTATATACATGGCAATTTACAATCCCTTACAATTCCATTTAGGTCATAAAAAATAATTCTTTGTTGGTAACATAATAATACAGCTGATTTAAAAAAAAAATTTATATATATATATATATAGGAGAAGCAATGGAATAAGAGAGATTCCAAAGTGAAAGTACATTAGATACGTAGTTATAAGTGCCTATGGCTGTGGACTTAATAGAACCTCATGGGTTTATATAAGACCCTTTCCTAATAAATAAGAAATTATATTTGTAATGATAACCTTTTAATGCAGAAAGGGTGCTGTGTGTAAGTTGATCTAATAAATCAGTAAGTGTTGGGAAAATTATATATATATATAGGAGAAGCAATGGAATAAGAGAGATTCCAAAGTGAAAGTACATTAGATGCGTAGTTATAAGTGCCTATGGCTGTGGACTTAATAGAACCTCATGGGTTTATATAAGACCCTTTCCTAATAAATAAGAAATTATATTTGTAATGATAACCTTTTAATGCAGAAAGGGTGCTCTGTGTGAGTTATGATCTAATAAATTAATAAATGTTGTGCATTGATATTCTAGGATGCAAATCGTTTGCAACAAAAAGAGTTTGTTTGTTATCATGGTCTTGCATTATAGATGAATGTGAGACCAGAGTGTTTTGAATAGATTTTTTCTCATTGGCATAAAAAGAAGATTTGTGTAAGTTGTCTGTGATCCAAAGGTCTGCACTTAAGAGGCTAGAGCTTTAAAGAAGATTAAAAACTATGTTGTCTCTACCTTGTTTTCTGAAGTAATTAATAAATCCTTTGACACTTAATGGGGATCTTGGATGTGATTTCATTGCATTTGTTGCAGTAAGTTTGTGCAATTGCAGCTAACAAAATAAACTCAAGTTTGTATGCTATATTTTCTGATTGTGGGTATACTTCCAATGAATCTACAGAAGTTAGGTCCAAAGATCTTATATTGTGTTTCAATTTGATACTTGATGTGACCAAGAGTATAAATCTTGTGACCAAAAAAAAAATTTGTCCTTGTGTGGATTGAATGATAGAGGGAAAAGGGTCTTGGTTCGATCTCTGTTGAGAAGTGCTAGGGCGGATGTAGTGTGTCTTCAAGAAACAAAGATGGAGTGCATTAGAGGGGAGACCATCAGGGTGTTTTTCTTTTTTTTTTTTTTTTTTGGTGGGGGTAGGGGGCTAATTTGTGGATTGGATATTTTTACCAGCATTGGGGGTAGCAGGGGGTGTCCTTCTGTGTTGGGACCGTCGGGTGGTGGAGAATAAGGATGTAGAGGTGGGGGCTTTTTCGCTATCTTGTTTGTTTCGCTATGTTGCGGATGATTATCGTTGCACCTTCATCGGGGTTTATGGCCCCGTTAGACAGTCGAAACGGGCTACGTTTTGGGAGAAGCTATAGTCTATTGCTTTTCGGTAGGGAGTTCCTTGGTGTGTGGGAAGTGACTTCAATGTGGTGCGGTGCATGGAGGAGAAACAGGAGGCAAGCTTAGTGTCAAGATCTATGCGAGCTTTTTCTTCATTTATTGATGAGATGGAATTGGTGGACTTGTCGCTTCAGGGGGGTGGTTATACTTGGTCTGGGGATAGGGCAATGTCCCGTATTGATAGGTTTCTGGTGACTGGAGATTAGGAGGGGCATTTTTCACAGGTGACTCAAGTAAAGTTGCATCATTCTGTATCGAATCATTGGCCAATTTTATTGGATAGTGGGGGGATCAATAGGAGACCGTCGCCATTTCGATTTAAGAATATGTGGCTTTTGTCTGAAGGCTTTGGGGAGACAATGAGGGGGTGGTGGGGTAGCTATACTTTGCTTGGGAATCCTAGTTGTCGTTTAGCCCAAAAATTGAAGCTTCTCAAGTCGGACTTGAGACAGTAGAATAGGGAGGTGTTTGGGCGGCTGCAGACTCAGAAGGCGAATATTTTAACAGTATTGCAGGGGCTAGTTGAGAAAGAGGACAAGGGTACCTTGTCTGGGAAGGATATGGCTCGTCGGGATGCGGCTCGAAAGGAATTTGGACACGTGGCTCGTATGGAAGAGATTAGTTTCCACCAGAAATCTAGATGTTTGTAGCTGAAGGATGGGGATCGGAACATGAGTTTCTTTCACCGTATAGAAATTGCGCATCGGCGAGTGAATCAGATAGGGAGATTGCGGGTGAATTGGGTGGTGTTCTCATCTACGGAGGAGATTAAAGGGGGCAATAGTGGGTTTTTATGAGTATTTATTTCGGCCTACTGAGGGAGTTTGGAGGCCGACACTGGATGGGGTTCCATTTGATGTTATTCCAGAGGTGGATTGTCCTTTGTTGAAAAGGGCATTTACGGAAGAAGAGGTGTTTGAGACGCTACAGAGTATGCCTGGGGATAAGGCGCCTAGGCCTGACGGTTTGTCCATAGCTTTTTCCAACACTGTTAGGGAGTGGTGAACAAAGATGTGATGGCTATGTTTGAGCAATTTCATTGGACGAGACAGTTTGAGATGAGCTTGAATGTCACTTTTATTGCGTTGATTCCTAAGAAAGGTGGGGCAAAGGATATTCGGGACTTTTGACCTGTCAGTCTTTTGGTAATGTGTATAAGTTGTTGGCCAAGGTTTTGGCGAATCGACTTCGAGGGGTGCTGGGAGGGAGGGGGGTGTCTGAGTCTTAGAATACCTTTGTGGGTGATAGGCAAATTCTGGATGCGATTTTGGTGGCCAATGAATGTGTGGATTCGAGGTTAAGGTAGAGAAAGGTGGGGATTATGTGTAAACTAGATATTGAGAAAGCATATGACAATGTTAGCTGGGAGTTTCTGTTGTATATACTGGAGAGGATGTGTTTTGGGGCTAGATGGAGGCGGTGGATACATCTTTGCGTATTTATTATGTGGATGTCTATGTTGGTTATGTTTGGGGGTTAGAAGTTTGGTTATGTTTAATTTGGCGTTGCTGGGTAAATGTTATGACATTTTGTGGGGGAAAAAGAGCATTTATGGAGGAAGGTGGTTGTGGCAAAGTTTGGTCTGGGAAGAGGGGGGTGGTGTTCGGGTAAGGTGGGACAGTCTCATGGTCATGGTGTTTGGAAAGAAATTTTGTTGGGCTGGGAGGCATTTTGGTGGAGGATTCAACTGAAGATAGGGTTGGGAGATAGAGTTCGTTTCTGGCATGACAGGTGGTGTGGGGATACTTCTTTAGAGCAGCTATTCCCTTTGATTTTTGGGATTGCAGAAGATTGTGAGGTTATGGTGGGCACGGTTCAAACGGGGCAAGGACAGGTGGTGGTTTGGAACGTGTGGCTATGTCATGAGGTTTAGGATTGGGAGGTAGATCAGTTAATGGAGCTGTTGGGTTTCTTATATGGGTTGCAAATTGGGGTGCAGGGGAAGATTCTATGGTTTGGATCTGTTCCGGCTCTAAGTGGCTTTTTTCTGTATCTTCCTACTATGGTGCGCTTGTTCATGCTGATGCGGTTCGTTTCCTTGGAAATGTGTCTGTGTCAGGTACGCCATCCAAGGTAGCTTTCTTTGTGTAGACAGCTACCTTAGGACGTATTCTGACGATTGATAATCTGATGTGTCGTAGGCATATACTGGTAAATTGGTGTTGTTTGTATTGGGGTGATGCTAAGTCAGTGGACCATTTGCTCATTCAATGCCCAATTACATATCGGCTTTGGATGTTTATTGTGGCAACTTTTGGTTCGTTTTGGGTGCAACCAGGTTCGGTGTTGGCAGTCTTGCAAAGTTAGGCTGGAGGTAGGGTTGGGAGGAGACGTCGAAAGGCGTGGATGATTGTCTCTCGCTGTTTAATGTGGCTTATTTGGTTAGAACGTAATAGGCGTGTATTCCAAGGAGTGTCTCATTCGATTTCTTGGCTGGAGAGGCGGGTGTTTATGGTGTTATATAATTGGGTTACGGGGTTGGTTGATCTAGATGTTTTAGCTTATGTAGATTTTGTAGAGAATTTGATAGCTTAGCATTTTTTCCTTGGGAGTTTGTATTTTGTATTCTTTGCATCATCTTTGATGCTTTTCTAATAAATTTGCTTATTTATCAACAAAAAAAAAAGTATAAATCTTGTGAGCTGGCTGCTTATATTTAAACTCCAACCCCCCACCAACAAAAAAGAAAAAAGAGAACAAGTACAACAACTCCTCTCTCAATATGTAGCAAGAGACAATTAAAGAATAGGTGTAGCATTCATCATTTCATTTTCCAAATATTTGTGGGAATTGCTGGATACAAGGACATGCCATTTGCTGGTTATGAGGCAGTGATTATTTTTAACACTAGGCATAATTTTCTGTTAATTGGATGTTATTGAAAGATCACACTTTGCATTAGCCTTTCCTATCGTATTTATGCCAATCTTTTGAAATACTTCAGAATTTGTTGAAGCTGTGAGATGTCAACTTTCAACCTGGCTTAGAGTTTTGCATTAATATTTTGATAATTCATCAGAATTCAAAATTATGTTTACTTTTTCAGGGAATCACGAGAATCAAATATGGCCAAAGTATCAGCATCAGTGAACTTGCTGGTGCGGTTTCGTTGGCAGGATCTGGGGAAGGGTGGTGGGCAGTTGAAGGAGGGAACTGGCAGATGGCTGTTGGATTAATCAATACTTCAGATGTTGAATTGCACCTTGTAGACACCCCATTTTTGACCGCCCTTAAGACTTGGACGCGACTGATGGTTTACATGGTGGAGAAAGGTGTGCAGGGCAAAGGTTTAATTTCTTCGGCAAGAGGAGAGAGAGACAAATTCCAACCTTACACCCCATTTTGGACCAAAGCTATTTTGGATGATTTTTAGACCTTAAAACCCTCTTTTTCAAAATATTTTTTGAAACAAAGTTCCTACGATGTTCCAAGGCTCGCATTTTGTCAAATGTTGCGCTTTTCGGTAAACCGAGCAAGGACAAAGTAGAAATGAATGAATGAGAGATGAAATCTTTGAAAAATATTTCAAAACATTTTGTTTAGGGGTTTGGATTTGAAGAAAAGAGGAAAGGAGAGAAGAAAACTAGTTTGGGAGAAGTTCAGCATGAATCCGGTTGGATTGAATCTGCGCGGCTTCACCAAAACAGGCATAACTTTTTTCACAGGAGGAATTTTAATGCAAGGCTAGCTCTATTGGAAAGATAACTTCCGGGGCTTCAATTTGGACACAAGAATGACCTGAAAAGGAGTTCAAATAAAGGAGTTATGGCCATTTGAAGTTGGACATAGAAAGCAGAGTTTTCCTAAACTAGCTGGCCGACCCGAAAAGGTGGCTGGCCGACCACCCTCTCCTGAAAAAGTGGTCGGCCGACCAGGAAAGGTGGCTGGCCGACCATAAAAAGTGACCGGCCGACCACTTATGCCCAGAAAGCTTAGAATTGATAGATATTTTCCCTCCAGCTGTCTTCCACAACCTCCAACTGTCCTATAATCAGATATTTTCGAGCCAACTCTAATTTTGGGCTATATATGAGTTATATCTCTCATTTTTGAAGGACTTCTTGAGAAAGTTTTGAGAGCCTCTCTCTCTACACCTCTCTCTCCTCTTCCATTGCTAGGGGTTGAACATTTTTGTTTAAGGCATACACCCTCCATCCTCCATTTTCACTATTCCAAGCTCCAAAACCCTAGTTTTCTTGGACCATTTGCACTACAACCCTTAGCACCACACCTCCTCCATCCATTCCAGCACTTTGGGACTGATTTTCAAGGGTTGAAGGTTCACCAAATTGGTCCAAAAGCTCTACCTTTGCTGCTCTTCAAGGGTAAGTGCCTATTTCCCTTAAACTTGCATTTTTTTGCTCCATTGATTAGCCTTACTTGATCGGATTGATCTAATTTTTTTTTAAAAAAAAATAAATATACATGAAGGAACTTACAAAATGAACGGTTCAAACTATAAAAAGGAGACCAGAATAAGTTCCACGAGCCTGAATAACAAACTCTAGACTCTAGTTCACAACAATGCTAGGGATACTAACACATTTACTAACAATCTTACTAACACACTTATAAATTTTAATTAGATTAACCACCACTTAATATGGAACCACATTAACTTGTGTCTAACACATTTATTTACTCTAGTCAAAAGGTTGTTTCTACAGAGCAGTTATGTAAAATAATAGATTTTGATACTGGGCCTAGGCAGAAGCCCAATTTTAGATTATGGGCTGTTGTTAACCATTTGTTTTACTCATCCAATCCGTAAATTCCAGACCATTGCATTACTTGGGGTACACTTTTAACTATTAAGTCCAATAAAATTTTGGCCCAATAAGACACCCTTTGGCCACAACTTTTTGTCTTGGGCTCTTTCATTAACGGACTTCTATCAATTTTGTCCATTTTTTCAGCTTCAAGTCTAAAAGCCCTTAAGAATTTTAAAAGGGTGACAAATTTGAAGAAAAACCCATTAAAGCAAAACAAAAAAAATATATATCTATATAATAAGGGGGAAGAGTTTTTGAAAATGTCTAATTTATGTTAGAGATACATTTTGATCTAATGGTTTAAATTGTCTCATCTTAATTTCAATGGTTGGGATGTCTTTATTTCCCGCCCAAATGCTCTTTGAGCATCAACGGTTGAGATCAATTACCGTCAAGATCTAATGGTATGTAAATTGAAGAAAATCTCTTTCTTATCTCCATCCCAGGTACTCATCTCCTCTGTCTCTCTCTGATTTCAATTTTTGAACTCTCTCTCTCTCTCTCTCTCTATCGTGCGACGACCACGCACCATCGCGATGCCAACGACCACCAACCACCTCTCCTCTTTGTGTCATCTTCTCTCGACGACACCACCGACCGCCTCCTCTCCTCTCACCCTCCTCTTTCGTCTCTCTCCTCTTGCAAGGTAAACTAGAACTTTCAACTTTTGCAATTCATGATATTTTTGTGGGTTTGAATCTGGATATTTTTTTGGGTTTGTAAAGTTGAATCTAGATATTTTTTAATCTGGTTATTTTTGTTGAATCTGGATATTTTTGACATGTGGGTGTTTGGTTGGGTTGATCTTGCAAATAAGAAATGAGTTTTCATTTTTGAAATAGGTTTTGTTTCTTAAATGGGTTTCATTTTTAAATTTTTAAAAAGTTTTGGATCTGAAATGAGTTTCATTTTATATATATATATATATATATACATGTATGTATAGTTTAGTGGGTCTGAAATGGGCTTCATGTATGTATAGTCCAGTGGGTCTGAAATGGGTTTCATGTATGTATAGTCTAGTGGGTCTGAAATGGGTTTCACTTGATTTTGTTCATATTAAAAGGGTTCTTTTCATCCTGTTTTGATTTTGTTCATATTAGAATGGTTCTTTTCATTTAGTAGACTCTGCAATAAAATAAATTGAAAAACAAGATGGAATTGTATTTTAAATTGTTGGATCCTTTCATTCTGTTGGGGTTTTTACTAAACTATAGGTCTTTTATTATTTAGGATTCCAAGTAATGAGAAATCTAGGATGTAAAAGGCTTATAATTTTTCGCAACCAGAAGGAACATAAATTCAACAAGTCACCTGCATTTTTTCAAGTGGTTTGGTCATCATTATCGTCTGATCTTCTGTCTTTGAGGTTTTTTAAGTCAATGGTCCTTTTATTATTGAATTGTAAAGCAATAATTTCAGCATTTTTACCCCTATTTTATTAGGAAGGTGTCTTTTAAGGAGTCGGGCTCGTCTCTAATTCCCATTGAAGTGGAGGATCCTCCACTCTTTCATGACAACGCAACATGTCAGCACTTAATAATTTAATGGTCAAGATATTGCCAAACCAACCGACTCGTTTATCAGGCTCAAACAATGCCTTTTGAAGCCAAATTGGCACTAACAAAGCATTCATCAATTCTCCTTTAAATTTATCCGCCAAGGCTTTCAACACCTACTATGATGGAATGTGTTGCATTAAGCATTTCAGCATAGTTAGGATCATGCATAGATTTCTAACATAGTTTCTGTTTTGGCTTAGAGTACTCGATAAGTGTTTATGCTTTAGCATCCTTGCATGTGTGTGAGTGACTGCCATGATAGCATGCTTACCATGAGGCTCATTGCTTATATGATATACCTGCCTGAATGCCTGTGGGTGAAGGTTGGGTTATCCGAATTGGAACAATTCATTAAATGCGAGTTTTAAGCCCACTAGATAGTGGCAAATCACCTTGTTTTCTAAACCCACCTGAGGGTAGCAAATCCACATTTTAGCCTACTTGCGAGTAGCAAACTGTTTTCAAAATAAACATGAGATGTTTCGTTCCATTTCAGGCAATCCAATCTATACTTGTATGCTGTGCGCATCACATAGTAAATCTAGGCTAATAATCGGAGTAAGAACGCATAACGTTTTCAAAACTAGATATCATGGTTAGTAGAGGCCGATCTTTGATTGGGCGAGCGGGGGTGCTCACGAAGTGACCTTCCCCAATCGTACCCAAGTTCCCGAGCCGAGGCAACTTTGGTGATGACGGACACATGGCCTTAGGCAACGAGTCAGGGTTTCCTAAATTTCCCAAAATAAAATATTTAGGAGGTGACTCTGTATCTGGCAAAGCAGTCCATGTTGGGCACTTCTTTCAAAAAATCTGTTTTCAAAAACGATTTGCCGGATTTGGACTCTTTGATGATTCATCGGTCTTGCATTGCACTCTGCAAGATTAGATACAGGACCGTGACTTTGAGTCCTGAACTGTAGTGAGCCCAATGAACAAAACAAGGGGATTTCCTCCCGGGACGTTCGGGCGCGTCTACAGTTTCTGGCGACTCCGCTAGGGATTTAGAGAACTTGGCTCGAACTCATGATATCATGTTTTGATTACACTTATGTGTTTCTTTGCATTGCATTTACATTGGTGCGCCTAGGACACTGTGTTTGCTATATGCTATTCCTGAACGGTTTGCCGGAGGCTCGCTTTGCGAAGCGTGCCATAAGGCTGACCGATTACGGGCTCTGCCACGACGGGAACACAAACCCCAGTTTTACCGGGGCACCCTCTTTGACCATTCGACCTAGTGCATATTTGGAATCCATAGTGACCATTCCAAACTAGGACAGGTTGCTTACCCGATCATAGGTTGTTTGAAACCGCTGCGTGCGTAGTGAAACCCTAGCTCCTGACAAAATAGGATAGGGAAACCCTACCCCAACATAGGGGTGTTTTGGCTCTCACTTACTTGCTATGTGCTTTTAGAGTGCGTCTCTACAGGAATGCATGTATCAGTTTGCAAGTTTGGGCATCAGGCCTCAGGGCATCAGTATTTGGGAATCACTTTTACCTAAGGGTATCAGTTTACAGACAGACTTTTGGGCAGAATTCTGTAGGGGCACAGTCATTCAGCTCTACTCATATGGGTTATCATGAAATCAGGTTGAGATACTGTCTGTTTTCTCTTTTGCTAGGGTAGTCTTGGAACCATAGCTTCAGAAGGCTTCGATATCCCCTGGGTACATTGGACTAGTGCTGATAGACTTTGTTAGGTTAGCGATTCAATTCAAGGGCAACCAGTGTTCTTTCGCTGGGGCAAGGCAAAGAAAGGCCAGTCAGGGCTCACCGGTTCATCTAATCCGTCAGTCACCAGTCACATCACCTTTGTTCGGACTTAGCAGACCGTGA